TTTTTTTTTCTCTCTCTCTCCCTTCCTTGCATAGAGTAAGCAAGGAGTGAATTAGGTGATGTTAGAAAAGATAATGATCATTGCCCTGGTTCATTATCTTTAGGTGCAGTGGGCACAGTCAAGATAACAGGATGCAATGGAAAAGAGAATACAGTACATAACATTTGATTTAACCCATCAGTGCCTCCTCTTCTTGTTGCTAATCGTGCTATCTTAATTGTCACATTTAAAGTTTTCTGTATGTTTTCACTAAAATGCATAGGTATCAAAAATACATATTCTGTATAAAATATGAGATTAATATGATCAAGGCAGCTACTTAATGAAACCATATTCTTAGCCGAGCAAAGCTTTGGTGCTGTTGCTTGGTGCTGTTCTCACTTGTTCTCTTGAGTCTGTTGTGAGCCTGTATAAAGAGTATTTGGAATTCTCCTGTTTCTTCTGAACAAGGGGTTAAGTGTTCTGACAAAAATCCAGAAGATCTTTCAAAACTTCCTTTATTTTAAAATAGAGAAAACTTGGTATTATACAAGGCAATTTGAAGTTGAATATTGGGAATTCAATTTTTACTTCTTAACTTTTATTGGGAGAAAAAAAAAAAAAAAAGTTTTGCCAGTGCACCAGTTTGAAGGGCCAGTGTGATACGTCACTCTTTTTGACTGCTGACTATATGATTTAGTTTATTCTGTGCAGAATTTTTGAATAAAATATGTTAGTAAGAACTAAGTTAGTTTAGAACACAATACATTGACTTCTAAGCCTTGAATTGAGAGCAGGCATTTCATTAAAGAATATTTCAGCAGCAGCTCTGCTTTCACTGGGACCTGAACTACAATTTTTTCCTCTGTATATGTTAGGGTACTGGTCCTTGGCAAAAGGTCACAGTCTTCTGGGAGGGCAAGTTCATTATTTCAGAAATAATATTTCTTAAGGAGTTGGGAATAGTATGTCATACACTCAGTCTCCCTTGCACAAAACTTATTGTAATAAAAGTGATAGTTTTCCACAGGTATCATAGTCATAGGATTAGTCTTAGTCATGTACTCTGTTAGGTTTAAAGGTACAGCTGGTATGCAGCTGTTACAAGCCAATCCTAGGCTTTAGCTTGGTTTTTCTTTTTAAAGTTGATTGGTAGATGAAAATACTGAGTCATGGATCCATGCTACATTTAATCTTCCCGAACTACCGGAATGTGATAAATAGAGTTTAGAAGCTGTTTGCATGGGGGAAAAAAAAAAAGAAATCTGCATATTCTTTACCCAAAGCAGTTCTCTACCGAGTCGATAAGATGTGATCACAGTACTACAGCATGTGTGTTTACAATAAAGCCATCATTATGTTTATTTTTTCACATTGAACTACAGTTACAAAAAGCTGTAGTTTTGTCTGCTTTGGTAAAGTGAACAAAAGTAGGAAATTCTTATATTCTTATCTGAGGGAAGAAAGGAAGAAGACATTGGTGTCACTTCCTGCAGTAACACTCCTGTGAAGACTTGCACTGTTTCTAGACTTTCTGATTTTAATGGCTTTCAACAGAGGTCAATATCTGTTTGATCCTGGCAGTTGTTAGGTGCTTAAATCACTGACTTTGCCTGTCTGACTCGTCATATGTGGCAGTTGGCATTAACTTGATTAATTCTTGTGCTTTCACGCATCTGATCAGTCAAATGACGGAGTAATGCTTCCATGTTGCACATCCCTCTTGTGCAGGCAGAATTGTTACCTGGCTTTGTGGGCTGCTATTCTGAAAGATGCAGTTATAGTAGAATAGGATAAATAATAAAACTAGAACTAGATTCGACCTCTTCTATTGTTGGGGTGTAAATAAAATGAAGTACAGTTTATAAACATCATTTAAAAGCAGCTTTTTAATTTTTTTTTTTAAATCTTGCTTGTATCACACATGTTTCTTTACTTTTCCCTTCATGGATTTGCACCCACAGATTTCCCCTTTCTGGCCTTGATGTGTCAGGTGATAAATGCTTTATAATTGTTAGGAGGAGTTGGCCTTGAGCTTGGCTTGAAAAACCAGACTTATTAAAATGACTTTTTTTCTTTAGAGCAGTCCATTTGAGCTAGTTTTAAATTAGTGTTAGAGTAGGGGTGTTGGTTTAAGACTGCACTGGCCATCTGGAGAGTCTCTTTTCAGTCATTTTATAGCTTTCTCAACTATTTTCTTTGCAAATAAACTGTAGTGACTAATGCTTGAGTTCTTTTGGGGAGTTGTTAAAATCCAACTATTCGCACTTGTAAGAGTGTTTCTTTAAAAAAAAAATAGTTTTCCTGCATGATTTTGACTGAAAATGTATGTAAAACACCAGTTTTCTTAAACTAAGGTTAATCAAATGCCCAATTTCTGCCCAATGCAAATAAACCCCCCTTCCCCAAAGTTTAACCAATTAAAATGAAGTGCTCTTTGTACAGTACTTAATCATTTTTACTGTGAGAACGTTGTTTTTGCAACATAATGGTGTTGCAGATCTTGCCAAATTCTGCTTTTACTCAAAAGTTCAGGGCAGAGGGGGACTATTAAATCATGTGGTGCAACCTCTTCTAAATCACAGGCCACTAAACTGTATCTGCTTATGCTGCTGATGAGTCCAGGAGTTCGTCTTTGACTGAAGAATGATTTGTCTGGTAACCTATGCCTTGCAGAAAGGCATGTACTCATCACTTAAAGACATAGGAAAATCTGCCCTTAATTACTTCTTCCTGGGGCTAGATATCTTAGTTCAAAAGTTCAAGAGTGGACATAATGGTTTATATTTAGGAGCTGGCTTACAGTGTGTTTAGCTTTGGTTTACAGCTACTTCAGTTACTAGGTAACTTTCTTAGCAAGATTAAAAAGCTCTCAAAGTCCCAGCTCTTTTAATATTTACAAAGATTCAAAATTAGAGCTGAATGTAGTGTTGTCATATATGGAAGTATTCTGCTCCTATGTTGACACGTTGGGTGTTGCTCCCTTTGACCCCGGTGTTCTCATTGTGTTGCTTAATCCAGCAGGACCTTAATGCGTTTCCTCAGAGGCACTGTTCTCTGCATGTTATCCTGCATTCTCAAATTGAAGTTATGACTTGCTTTTTTTTTTTTTTTTTTTCCTTTCTTTCCCCTAGGTCGATAACCCATAATCTGCATGTGCTAAAATGCTGCTTTTTGAGTAGGTTGGCTTACCCTCTTATCTATATTGTTATGTGCCACATTATCAATCTTTGTTATCCCTAACTTTTATCATTCTTAGCTTCATAACTGAAGTATAGAAGTTATAAATGTGAACAGAGCTAATGTATTACCTGGCCATGAATAAATGGATGAGATGATTAGAAAGAGGGGAGTAAGATGACATTTTTCAGCTGTGGGGAAATTACTGCCTTGTTACCCATGTGATCCTATCCAAGTTCATTTTCCTAACACCTACAACGTAGCTAGTAGAAGCACCTCTATTTGATGATTCACAATTGTCAACTCCTTTGGGAACTTCTCATACAGATTTTATCCATTTAGATAAAGGTTAATAATTTTCCTTAAATCATAGGTTGACTATAAGATGTAATCTGTAATGAAGATGTTGTTTGGATTAAGCTAGCTTTGCTCTGAGAACGTTGCCTGGATTTAAATTCCATGGCTTAATGTGCCCATAATATCTATTATTATCAAAGAACATAAACTGAATAAGAACTTTAATGCATGAACAGCAGGCGGTACATAACTGAAATAAATGTTCTTATCTGCTTCAGGCAGAGAAGACGTTGCTACGTCCAGATTAGTTTTGAGTGGCTCTTTGAGAAGGTATTTTCAAAATTAGGCCCCAAAAATCAGTGCTTCCTTGGTATAGAAGTTTTCCCTGCAGTACTGAATACATAGACCTTTGCATTTTATCCCTTCTTTTCTTTCATAAATACCAAAAGATACCCTATTCACTTGTGGAGTTCTTTTCATTTACCTGTACCAATTGCTTGTGTTCAAACACTGTGCAAAAAGAGAATGAAGAAACTCCGTGACCTGGCTGGTGCTACGAAGGAAAGCTCTTCTGACCAAGGTGCTGTCAGTTGTTCAAGCCCAGCCCTAGCAGTTCTGTGTCCAGTACTAGCGTGGCTTTGATTTTGGTGCTAAACTGGGGTCTGTTTGATATGGAGGTGAAAATCTCCTTTTCTCAGTCATTCACTTGGCAAAATATATGAATAGTTCATTAGGAATTTGGTGTAGCTTTTTTTTTTTTTTTTTAAACTGCTCAGCTGCACCTTTCAAGTCAGCTTATTACGATTCCTTTGCCCTTTCATTTCTATGCACTTGTTTGTGTGCTGATAAACACACATGCACGCACACAAAGAGAGTAATTTCAACTTCTTCACTGCTGTCACAAGTGAGAAACGCAACTTGCCACTCTTGAATTCCTTCCTCCCTGCCGGTCTCAACAATTCCTCCATCCCACAGCAGAAATTCATAACTTTGAGTCTAACAGCTCGTTTGGTGACTATGATATTGCTGTGTTTGTCCATGCACTGATGACGTGTGATTTACCTTGCTCTTGTTTCAGGTACAAAGGTAAAGTCAGCAAGAACACAAACATGTTCTCACACACAGAAGGTAGTAACCAGCCCTAAGAAGCAGCATCCTTTACCTGCACCTCTGCAAGAGAAGCAGTATCTCTTCAGTCCAAGCAGAGACGTGCCTGCAGACTGCGGACCACTTGAAGGACACCTAATTCCTATGGCTATTCCCCTAGGTAGGAGCAAATAACCTGTGGGTTCTATAATATCAATACCTGCTCCTTGAGGGATCTGCTATAGAGCTTGTATATCAGTCACATTTAGGGAAAGTTTAATTATTGTCCTGATTTTTAATGAAGAGCCTCAAATTAAAATGTGAGGGATGCTGTATCAATCATACTGATATTTTGAATGTAGTTAAAGTGTGAGCGAGGAAAAGCATGGTAAGGTAACTTTCTAGCAAGGAAGATAATGTAGTTATTCTTGTTGTCAGCAGCAGGTGTCACTGTCCTCAAATTAAACTGCTTCAGAATTGATTCTGAATTTGAAAAATGTTGGTGTTTCCAATTTTTATTAGGAAAAAGCTTAGGTCTACCTGGTGAAATACTAGGCTCTAGCATAATAAGTAGTAGAGGACTTTTTGATTTGCTCTCTGATTGTACAAGAGAACTCAGTCTGTCCTATGTGAAACTCAGATACCAAGAATTGGATTTTAATTATTTTTTTCTTTTAGTGACTTTTTTTTTCTAGGATTTATGTTCTTGTTTGTTTTGTTTTCCTTAACTTCCCGTAGGTCAAACGCAGATAAGTGATGTCTCACTGCAGCCTGCTGGAGTAGTGATAGGCAAACCACACCCTGTTACAGTTACAACCTCTCTACCTCCAGTGCCACCAAAGCCATCAATTCAGACAAAAAAAGCAAACATAGCTGTAATAGAGATGAGATCAGAGAAAAAGGATCCACCGCAACTGTCTGTACAAGTATGTATTGAGTGATGACTTGTTTATATGTGAAAGTTAACTACAGGCACAGTCACATCCATCAGCAACTTACTTTGACATTATAAATGCTTTTTTTTCCTCTCAGCATTGAAAGCATAGGACATCGAGTGACCAAAAAGTTGTTGTGCTCTGATGATATTTTTGTTCATACTTGAACAATATTTTTTATCATTTAACCAAAATAGAATAATTATTTCTCCTGTAAGTTAGCTATGCAAGTTATTTGTAAAGTAGTCCTGTATCGTATTATATGCCACACTTTCTTGTTTTTAAGGGAGATTTTTCAAGCCAGAACAGACTTGAAATTGAAAAGTATTAAAATAAATATCCCTTTTCTTAGCTGAATGCTTTGGCCTTTAAGATTTCTTTTTCAGGTATGATATTAATCCCAAGAATTTCACTCCTGATTAATCAACCATTTAAGTCCTATCTAGATTTTGTTACATAAGTCTGTTGTCAAGGAAATAAATGTTTCTTTACATGTTCAGTGTTTTGAATTCAAATTGTTGCGAATATTCACACTCCTACATACACCTTCTAGATATAAATCGTTTTTAGAACTCAAAGTTAAGCAGAAACAGAGGATGTGGTTCATTCCCTTGCTGCATCACTGTATTTTACCCACGTACCTTTTTGTATTATTTCACCCAGTTAGTTCTTAATTGACTTTTTTTTTTTTTTTTTTTTTTACCCCAGAGACTTAAACTAGTATGTAGAACTTCATGCATTGTGCAACGGTACTTAAACTTTTTTTTTTTTTTTTTTGATCCTATAATGGACATGCCCATCTTAATAGCTGTATTGTACAACCATCTTCCCTTATTTTCACCCTAACAAATGTATGACAAAATAAAGTCAGTAACCAACCTACACAGTCGCTTATAGACATATATAAATGCAATTAAACACATGGTCAAATTAATTCATATTAATAGAATTAGTGCATCTGTTATGTAAGTGGCTAACCATATATTTACATGCTAGGCAGAATATCTGGTAGTTAGCAGCCTGCTATAATTAAAAATCAGTATGTTAATCAGAGTGCTCCAGCTTCTCCTGGAGCTTAAATGAGGCAATGAGGCTCGAGGAGAAAAGGGGAGAATATTCCTTTTTTTTTTTTTTTTTCCTTTTTTTTGTATATTATGGTATGCTGTTTCTGACTTGCATTGTTATCAGTTGCAGGTATGAGAAAAGGAGATTTGCTAAAGAGTTTAGTGACTCAATAGCAAATAAGAAGAGAATATAGAAAGTTCACTGGTAGTAGGTGCACTAAAGCATATTTTTTGTTTATTTGTTTATTTTTTTCTGTCCTAGGTGTTACCAAATGTAGATATTGACAGTATTTCAAGTGGCAGCGTGAGTGTAAGCCATGAACTTTCAGGCTCAGAAACAGCATTTCCTCCTGTCAATGCAGTAATACAGGTATTGATTGATCTAAAAGAATTGAAATCTTTTTTTTTATTTATTTTTTTAAAAAAAGAAAATATGTATAAATTATGTTGAACTACTACAGTGTTATCCATGTTTGGTTCTAGGAAAAAAGGTGGAATAATTTTATTGAAAATTTTGTAATATGAGGTATTTATTTAAGCAAATGAAAATTTGCTGCCAGAGACTTAAGTCTTCCAAGACTGCAGCAAAGCCCTAGGAAAGGCACTATTTCTTTGTCTTGTCGAGAATTATAATCCCTTATGGGCTCTTGTCATGCTTTGTCTTATTTATATGGGCTTCAGAGTGTTGGCAGGAAGACTGAAAATGTTCTTCATTCCTCTGTCTCTTCCTTGTCTATGTTTGAATGGTTAGTGATGTGTATATATAGCCTGTTGCATGAGGGTAAATGACACAAAGTGGCTGGGCTACAGAACTGGCTGCTCCACTCTGTGTTCTTCCCATATGACTTGTCAATAGCATTTTTAATCTGGTCTAGGTGTTAATGAAGATTGCAGTTGAAGAGAAATACTAAGTACTGCCTGCTGAATAACAAAAATGTAAATTAAGGCACATGTTTACAGGACACAGGTTGTTTGGTGACTCTCAGCTGCCTTTCTGACTTTAGGGGACTCTCTTGAGTCCCACAGTCCAGGTGTTCAATGAGTAAGATAGGGACCATGGTCTAAAACAGTGAACTATTGAATAATGCTCTAGAGTTTAAACACAGATAAGTGGCCTAAGACACTCTTAGGTTTGTAGGTGCTGCCTTTCATAATGCTTTATCAAACTAATTTTAGTAATAGTTATAGGCACTGCCTAGAGCTTTTGGAGGTGAGGTAGTCTGTTATAATTCAGTGAGAGTAGCTGTCAGAATACAAGAAACATGGTTTATGCTATAGCTGTCAGAATACAAGAAACATGGTTTATGCTATGCAAAGAAATTCCTCCTAACTTATAAAATACATAAGGCATTATTCCTGGGTGGTCATTGTATTCTTGGTATGTAGTTTTTCTGTTAATGTGTTTCGTTTTTTATTTCCCTCTGCCTGCCATGTGAGATACTTAACAATTTCAATCTGTCTTTATAAGACTCCAGAAGATGTACAAAAGGAGGAAGAAGATATAAAGTATCCAGGAACTAATTTCATTCATGTTACCGATATCATGCAGGTAATTATATTGAAAAAAAACTATCATTTTCTCCAAAATGTTTCATATTTATTTTCTATTTTATTGTCATAACTGAAAAAAACAATGTAGAAAATTAGTTTACCACCTACTTCAAAAATACTGTGAACAGTGTCATAGTGTTCACAGCTCTGTGAACAATGCAGTGAGTCACTATGTGTTAATGAAAAAAGTAACTTTGAGGAATTGCAGTAAAATCTGAGCTTTGAAAGAAAAATAGGATA